AAAAAAAAAAAAGAATTTGTAAAAGTACATCTCCTAATCAGGAGCTCTGGGATGTAAGAAATCAAGAAATCTCCATTTGCTGGCACCCAGAGTTGCAACAAGTCTCAATACTGACTTCCTGTTCACTCTGCCCTTCTAACCTTACAAGCTTATCCTGAGTCTGCATGGTTCAAGAACACCTTGTACCTTCTTTCACACTTGGTATTCTTGCCTCTAATCCTGTCTTCTCTTCACGGTTATCTTACTAAGTGTGCTCAGTGACAATTTGCATCTAATGTGCACACATGCTAATCTTCATGACATCTACTACAGAGTCACAAAGCACAGAAGCCATTCTAATCCCTAGCAACAAAAGAATGGCCTCCCAACAAAAATTCATCAGACACAAATCTTTAAACATTATTTAAAGGAATAAAATAATATTGGATAGTCAAATAAAAGTGCTATTATTGGCTACACAGCACAGTAAGGGAGGAAAGAAAGGCATTTTACTTACTGTGATTTCTAGAGTGTAGGGATTTAGTTCTGTGAATGTGTAAGGAAGATACTGTAGCAGACCATTTAGCTTCATTGGTAGGAGAAGTGAGAGCAAAGCTCCGAACACTTTCTAATTACAAGAAACACTGGTAACATCTCAGTAATAGCCCTGGATCTGTCTATAAGAAGCTATAGGAGAAGGCAGTCGGGGAAAGTGCGTGCTATTGTGTGCTATTCTTTAACAGACTCGCTCACTCTGACTCTTCTGCTTCTGCTTGCAGGGTCTCTGCCCAGGCCCTTCCAAGAAGACTGCTAAGGTTTACTTTCTTAGTAAGACTATTTCTCTCCCTCCAGGACTGTTTCTCTCTCTCTCTCACCCTTCTGCTCAGGCAAATAGCCCTCAGGCACCTAAGGGTAATTGTTCCCGAGCAAGACAGCACATCAGTCCACAGCTGGACAATAGATAAGCCGCCGGAGACCTGGCCAGTCCTGGGCCCTGACACCTATCTACCATTTTTCCTCCAATTGGATAGTAAGAGGGGATTTAAGGTAACAGTTGTTGAGCGAAGTGGTTGTATAAATCTGCAGATCACAACAAGTGAAATATTATTATGAGAACAATTTTTAAAGCACTGAAAGGTGAATCAAAGCAAACAGGCTGGAGAAGAGGTTACCCAGGGTCGGGAGTCCCAGGCAGGATAAAGGCAGAAACATTCTCTCCCAGGCACATCACAGTCACACTGCTGAAAGCCAAAGATAAGGAAAGTCTTGAAATCAGCCAGAGAAAAAGTACATATTCTGTATAGGGGAGCAGCC